AAAAAAATATGGTTAATCTTTGAATTATGGTAACTTGGCGATTTTTTGGTGAAAATTTGGCGACCAACTGCTACAGCAACCCTTATTATTTTTTTTTTTTTTTGCGGCCATTTTGTCTTTACGAAGTAAAAACAGGTTTCTTTTCTTTTTACTTCCTGAACACTATTTTCCAACAATCTGCTAGCCAAATTACGCTTATGCTAGAAATTTTTATGGATCAAAAGTGCTTAATCATGACGAATATTAACTGCAAAATTGGGAAAAAGTGCAGAATCGCAAACTCCTTGCCGCGTTTTTCAGAATCGCACATACACATGTACCATGTACACGTCAACTTATTTTTACTTAAAAAAACATCCCAGAATTGCAAAAAAAAAAAAAAAAAAGGCATTGCGCACACTCTTGACTTTATCCATCTACACTGCTATTTACTCATAAATTACAAAAATTTGCACGAAAATGCAGGAAAATCGCTAATCTTTGGAATATGGTAACAGGTAGTTTGGCAAGGCGATAAAGGTTACTAGCTAGGACTTTAACAATAATCTGAGAAGTGCACAGTTTGAATCACAGATTATTTTATCTCAAAGAAATGAGAGATCATGAGACATGTAATGTGACATTTTCCGGAAAATTCCAATCGGGATTTTAGCTAATAAGCACTTAGAAACAATTTCGCTGCTAAAGTGCAGAATTGGATTTTTGTCTATTTTCTTTAACTTTTTAAGTGAAAATAGGTTGATGTGTACATGGATAAAATCAAGAGTGCGCACAATGTCATTTTTGTGCAATTCTGGGATTTTTTTAAAGTGAAAATAGGTTGACGTGTACATGGATACCGTTCACGTGCAATTCTTAAAAACGCGGCAAGCAGTGGGCGATTCTGCCCTTTTCCCCAATTTCGCACCTAATCTTCGTCATGATTAAGCACTTTTGTTCCATAAAAGGGCTGATCTTTGGAATATGGTAACAGGTAGTTTGGCGACATTTTGGAGGCGATAAAGGTTACTACCTATGAATTTGGGAATAATGTGAGAAGTACTCAGTTCCGATTACGCATTATTTTGTGTGAGGGAAATGAGAGATCATGAGATATGTCATGTGACATTATGGACGAATCACTGTTCTTTAATCAAAAAAGGGGGTATATTTGTAAAAATATCTGCTATACTTTATAGCAGTAGTTTCATTCTATATTCTGTGAAACAGTGTTGTTTAATATTTGTATCCCATGGCCGTATATAACATAAATCCGAAATTTTATTACGTTATGTGTAATTGAAAAGAATTGCTTAATTGCGGATAAGTATGAATGTCCAATATGTGGGAATGAAAATGAGATTGTGTGAAAGGAAGGATATTAAGATAGTTTGAATGGCAGTGCAAGAAACCTGGTGAAAATGGACTTTCCAAGGATGAACATTCCAGTATAAATAAATAAAAAAATATATTATATTATATAAATAAATAAATATAATATTATTATAATATAAATAAATATCCAAAAACTTTACCTCTAAATTATCTATTATAAACGTTACCAACGAATTTATAACAAAACATTAAAATGGTTACAAACATTAGTGTCAAATATTTAAAATTATTTCCATGCACGTTACTTCCACTGAAATGTATACCAAATTGCTACAAACATATAATTCACAAAATAACTATCATTTAATTAAAATATAATTAAACCATGTACACGTCGACTTATTTTTGCTTAAAAAACATCCAGAATTGCACAAAAATGGCATTGCGCACACTTTTCACTATATCATGTACACACTTTTTTCTCATAAATTAGAAAAATTTCGAAAATGCATTGAAAAATTTGTGAATCTTTAAATTCGATATAAAAAGGACATATATGAAATTATTGATCGCGCGAAAAAGTATACCCTTTCGGTTGATCTTACCATATGGTAAACTGGAGTTTTGGCGACATTTGGAGGCGATAAAGGTTACTACCTAGGACTTTGGGAATAATGTGAGCAGTACTCAGTTCCGATTACGCATTATTTTGCGTGAGGGAAATGAGAGATCATGGGATATGTCATGTGATATTAATGGACGAATTACGGTTCTTAATCGGAAAATGGGGAAAGGGGTAAATCGGGAAAAAAAATGTGGAAATTTTGTATTTAGCTTTATTCTGTGTTGTGTGAAACAGTGTTGTTTAATTTTTGGATCCCATGGCCCTAACTAAAGTAAATTCGAAATGGGCATTTAGGCATTGTGATAAAGAGAAGTTTGCTTTTTTAGCGGAGGAAGTATGGAGGAAAAATTCGCAGAAAAAATCTTTCAATAATTTTATTGAATGAATTAGAAAGTGTATCCGCCACGTATCAAGATTCTGAAGAAGATTAGGTAAGTTAGTATTTTTAATTATTTGAGGATATTATTTTTATGCATTGTTCTAAATGTAAGGTGGAAAGGAATTTGGTATTATTGAGAAAATTGTTATTAGCAATGATTTATTTAAAGTAATTAGGATTGTAAGGTAATTTTTATTAATTTAATGTATGTGTCATTTATATTTTAAGTAGTGTTTTTGAATTTAATATATTTAATGAAATGATAGTTATTTTTGTGAATTTTATGTTTGTAGGAATTTGGTATACGTTTAAGTTGAAATAAACGTGCATGGAAATAATTTAAATATTTGATACTAAGTATTTGAATGGTTGCGGTATGAATTCGTTGGTGACGTTGTATAATGTAATAGATGATTTAGAGGTAAAGGTTTTTTGGATATTTTATTTATTTTATATGTGGAAATGTTCATATTTGGAAAGGGTAAATACTTTTTTGCGATCAGGTAATTTCATATATGTTTCTTTTTACCGGGTTTAAAGATTGAGAAAATTGTCATGTATTTTTGTGAAATTTTTGTAATTTATGAAAAAAGCAGTGTACATGGATATAGTGAGAGTGTGCGCAATGCCATTTTGTGCAATTCGGGATTTTTTTTAAGTAAAAATAAGTCGACTGTACATGGTTTAGTGATATTTTAATTTAAATGATAGTTATTTTGGAATTGGTGTAGGAAGTTGAGTGTGAAATAAACGTGCATGAAATAATGAAATATTTGTTACTAAGTATTGTAAGTGTGTATGAATTCGTTGGTGACATATATGAATGTAATGATTTAGAGGAAAAGTTTTGGATTTTATTTATTTTATATGTGGAAATGTCATATTGTAAAGGTAACTACTTTTTCAGGATCAGGTAATTTCATATATTTCTTTTTACCGGGTTAAAGATTGAGAAAATTGTCAGTATTTGTGAATTTTTCTAAATTATGAGAAAAAAGCAGTGTCATGATATAGTGAAGAGTGTGCGCAATGCCATTTGTGCAATTCTGGGCTGTTTTTTTAAGTAAAAAAAGTCGCCGTGTACATGGTTTATGTGTATTGTTATTTTGAAAAAACGTAAGAGTATGGTATGTGCACTTTTTCCAATTTGCAGTGAATATGTCATGATTAAGCAGTTTGGTTTGTAAAATTCTAGCATAAGTATAATTCGGCTACTAGAGTTGGAAGAAAGTGTTCAGTAGATAGAAAGAAAGAAACATGTCTTACTTCGTGAAGACAAAATGGCGGGGGGAAACAAAATAGAGGGTTGCTGTAGGAGAGTTGGTCCAATTTTTGCCAAAAATGCAAGTTACCATAATGTAAAGATAACCATCCTTCCAAGGATGATTATTTGCACGTATAAAATAAATAAAATATCAAAAACTTTTCCCTCTAAATTATCTATTATAACCTCACCTACCAAATTCCTAAAACATTAAAAATGGTTCCAAATACTTAAATTCTTTCTTGCACATGTACTTCTACAAACGTATCAAATACTCCAACATATAACTCTCAAAATCACGATCAGAAATTAAAATATAATAAATTAAAAACACTATTTAAAATATAAGCACATACATTAATTAATAAATTAGCTTACAATCTAATTACATTAAACTAAATCATTCTAATAACAATTTCCAATAATACCATATAATTTTACTCCTTACATTTAGAACAATGCAAAAATATCTCCTCAAATAATTAAAAATACTAACTTACCTAATCTTTTCAGAATCTGAGTCAGGCGATCACAAAATGTCCATTCAGCGATTTCTTGTAACCGCCATTCAAACTAATCTGTAATATCCTCCTTTACAACAATCTCATTCATTCCCACATGTTTGGACTTCTACTTATCCGCAATTAACCAATTCTTTTCAATTACCATAATGCAATAAAAATTTCGGATTTATTTATATAGGCCATGGGATCAATATTAACAACATGTTTCACAGAAACTAGAATAAAACTAACGCTATAAATACAGCAGATATTTTAAAATTTACCCCCTTTTCGGATTAAAGAACGTGTTCGTCCATTAATGTCACTGCTATCTCATGAGCTCTCATTTCCCTCACCAAAATAATGCGTAATCGGAATGAGTTCTCACATATTCCCAAGACTAGGTAGTAACCTTTATCGCCTCCAAACTACCTGTTACCATATTCCAAAGATTAGCCAAAAATATAATTTAAGTTGTTTGCAAGGGAGCAAAATAGCCAGGAATGAGTAATTATTTTAAAACAGCACATGGTACCAATTCAGAAATTCAATGCAAGAACACTTCACGCTAAAAAGTGTCAAAACATTACAAATAATGCAAAAAGACAATAATATCCAGAGCAGAAAATTTTTTGCAGATTCTTGTAAGTTGTTAAAAAGATGCAAAATATTAATTTGAAACCAGAGTTTAATGCTAAAATAAAGCAATCGTAAAAGTCGTAAAATTGGTTACAAAGTGGCAAAGTAAGTGTAAATGAATAAAGTTGAAAAAAATGGGAAATTTGAAACAAGTTACTAGATGAATGGAAATTCTTTAATTGACAAGGCATAGAAAATAATAGTAAAATTCAACAATCATCAGAACACATGAAATCCTCCGTACTTAATGTAAATATATAATAAAAGAAAATTTACCTCCAACTTCAGCATATTGCACAAAATTCATCACTTAAAAAACGCGGACAAACAAAATTCAGCGCACGTTGTAAGGCATCAAGTTGAGAGGTTGCTACGCTTCTTCCGATGAGGAAAAGAAAAAAAAAGGAAGACTTCCCAACAAGGCCATTATTTACCCTGACAAGCGCTAGTGATGCTTAAGGCCGATGCACGGAGTATAAAGAAGAAGGGGAAACTGGTATTACCACCTTTTCCCAAAATGGTCCACTTATTGACGCGTTATTTATAGAGGATGCTGCAATCATTAGCTTTTCGTCTTTTCGTAGTATTTGCATAGACAGTAATAGCGAAAATATTGATTTGATATCAATTTTCATTATGAAAAAGGTCAAATAATGGAAACTGTTTCGTCCCTGGATGCAACAGTGTTTATGGAACTGTTACACTGAAGGAAAAAAAACCTTGTAAATCAAGAAACCAGGTATATTTAGAGTTCCAAAGGTGAACAATGGCTAGAATGGCTACTATGTGGAAGGCTATCAAATACTGCATTTTTAAAGTAAATAATAGAAGATATTTCATGTAGTTGTTGAGAACTGAATAATTGAGATTTAGTATAGTAGTTATACAATAATATCTGAAATAACATTTTCAAAGCATACACATAATTTTTCAATACTTGGGTTCAAAGCAGAAAAAGTTGTAAAATAATACACATGCAGAAAGAAATAGTGTCAAAAGTAGCTAGTATCTGATACATTGTAGATCATATGAGCAGGAATTGATATATTAATACTTATATGAAATCAGATCGAAAAGTAGTTGCCCTGC